TATTATACTACATAATAATTAATAATTAATATAACTTGATTTATTTTATTGAATATTCTTGATAGTACATCAGCTACATCATTAGTCTTTCCTGTACGATAAATAATATAATATTTAAAACAAGAAAACTTCAAACACCAACGTCTAATTTTTTCATTTTTGATTTTACTTGTATGGTTTTGTATTAACCCTTAAATGCCCAATCGGGGTCACTATGGGACCCCAGACATACATTTTTGGCTATAATATCTTTATTTGAAACATTTGGCAACCGCGCAATCAGGTATTTGTGTCTCCTACGTTTTCTGTTAGTATACCACGAACATTCGTGAGGTGCAGTGGTCTGTAAGAGAGATTTAGATAAGTGGGGTCTCGCTGTGACCCGATTGGGCATTTAGAGGCACCAGAATATTTTTATTATTTTTAACATTTTTCGTCAGTTTACATTGAAAAATGGACCGTAAGAGAATGAAAATGGCAATAAGCGACCAAGAACATGAAAAAATTATCCGAAATATAGAAGAAGGGATATCAGACTCCGATTTCGACTATGAGATTACCGACGAATCAGATAGCGAAGAGCAAGATGTTTTTGAGGAAAATGTTTCGGAAACTGAGGACAATTTAGAAGTCAACAGTGACGAGGAATCAGATGCAGAACCTACCGAAGTGGACGATAATATTAGTGAGGTTAGTGGTCCAACATATACATCCACATCTGGAATGCAGTGGAATAGCCTACCTTTCGTGAGATCCAAGAGGCAACAAAAAAATATTATAAATGTACATCCAGGCTTAACAAACTATAGTAAAAATTCCAACACGTTTTTAGACTATTTCAATTTATTTTTGACCGAAGAGATGAAGAATGTCATATGCCTTCATACTAATGAAGAAGCTGTTAGGCGTTATCAAGAGTGGAACGAAAAACATCCGAATAACAAAAAAGAGTGGACGGTACTTACCAACAATGAACTGGATAGCTTTTTAGGAGCACTTATCAAAGCTGGTGCATTAAGGTGTGGGAAAGAATCGACACGAGAGATATGGTCTACAGACACGTCAATACGCCGGTCATTTTTTACAGCCGCATTAGCTAGGAACCGATTTGAAGAATTATCGAGTTTCTTGAGGTTTGATGACAAAGTGACCAGGGTGGAGCGGAAGGAACAGGATAAGTTAGCGGCGATACGAGTAATTTGGGACATGTTCGTCTCTAACTGTGACAAAGCCTTTGAACCATACGAACATTATAACCGTTGACGAACAGTTAGTGAGTTTTAGAGGAAAGTGTCCTTTTAGACAATATATAAAATCAAAACCTTGCCGCTATGGGATAAAAATTTGGGCTGCCGCGGATGTAAAAACATCTTATTTATCAAAACTTCAGGTGTACCTTGGAAAACTACTTTGGTGGTAGAATAGAGAAAAATCAGGGATTTCGTGTTGTGAAAGATCTGGTGGAACCATATCATGGCAGTTGGAGATGAATTACAACTGACAACTTTTTTACCAGTGTTCCTCTTGCTCAATATCTTTTATCTAAAAACCTTACTTTACTTGGGACCGTCCGCAAAAATAAACCTGATACACCACCACAACTAAGTTTGACAAAAAGACCTGCGGAGTCGTCAATATTTGCTTTTACTAAAGAATTAGCTATGGTTTCGTACATACCTAAAATACACAGGATGGTACATCTTCTTTCAAGTCAACACGATAGTGATATAATTTGTCAAGACTCTCAAAACAAACCCTTGATGATTTTAGACTATAATAATACCAAGGGTGGTGTTGATAATGCCGACAAACTGATTAGGGAATATTCCTGTAAAAGAAGAACTGCTCGTTGGCCATTCAGGCTCTTTATGAATATTATAGACATATGTGCACTAAATGCCTATATTTTATACATTGAAAAAAATCCTGATTGGAAGAAAAATAATTTTTCACGAAGACGTATTTTCCTGTTACAATTAGGGGCTGAGCTTGCTCGAAACAACATGGAAAAAAGAGCGAAATATATAAAACATAAAGCCTATGTAAAATCTGCCCTAAAAGATTGTGGCATACCAATGGTAAACCCAACTACCGAAGTTGCAACTCAATCCGTCCATTCAGCTAAGAAACGTGCTCGTTGTTACCAGTGTCCGCGAAACTGTGACAGAAAAGTGAATACCGTTTGCTCTTTTTGCAAAAAATTTATATGCCAGGTGCACAGAAAAGAAGAAAAAACTATTGTATGTAAAAATTGCAACTAAAAGTTATATGCTTATATTATTATTTAATTTTAATTTTGTTCGAATTGAAAAGAATTTGTTTCTAGAAAAGCCGTTAATTTTGTATGAAAAATAAATAAAAATTATTCAAATATGCTTAAAATTATTTTTAACCGTGTTTTCCTTTTAGTCAGTGCTAAATGACGTTACTAAATTGAAAATTTTAGTGGGGTCCCTAGGAGACCCCACATGGGCATTTATGGTTATTTTCATATCACGGGCATTTAAGGGTTAAACATGAATGAAACTGATTTTTACCTGTTAAAAAATACTTAACGGCATTTAAAAATTATGTAAATTTAAAGCATGCTTATCTTGATAAATAACACCAACTTTCGTCATCTACATAAGCTTAAACATCTTGTAGATTTTTTTTAATGATAGAATCAATAGCTCTCAGAAAATATGATACTCCATTTATAACCCCAAAAGGAATATGATGGAATTGGTAAAGGCATCCATTTTATTGAAAGCTTTAAATGGTTTGTCAGATTCCTGAATTGACATTTGATGATCCGCAAATTTTAAATCAATTAAGCTAAAAATTTGATATTTTGAAATCTGGGACACTCATGAATCGATATTCGGCGAAGCAAATAATAAGCATCAAGTAATGTAAATACTGCAATTAGATACTGCAATTGAGAATGTTAATAACTATAAATATTTAGGAACATGGATAACATCAGGTGTAGACCAAACCAAAGAAATTAAAACACGTATTGAAATAGCACGTACATCATTTATTAAACTTAAAAAGTTTTTTTGTTGTCGGGATATAAGGTTAGAACTACGCCTGAGAATGCTTCGATGTTACGTGTTCTCTACTCTTCTTTATGGTCTGGAAGCTTGGACACTCAAACAAGTTCATCTGAATAAGCTGGCCGCCTTTGAATTTTGGTGTTACAGAAGAATCCTACGAATATCATGGATTCAAAGAATGTCAAACATGGAAGTAACTAGAAGGATAGGAAATGAGGCGGAAATAATATTAACTATTAAAAGACGAAAACTTGAGTAGTTGGGACATGTGATGAGAGGGCAAAAATACGCATTATTACAACTTATTATGCAGGGTAAAATCCGAGGAAAGCGAAATGTGGGAAGACGAAGAATATCCTGGCTTAAGAACTTAAGGGAATGGTTTGAATGCAGTAGTGCAGAACTTTTTAGAGCGGCAGTCAACAGAGTCCGCATAGCCATGATGATTTCCAACCTTCGATAGAAGATGGAACTTCAAGAAAAAGAATGTAAATATATTTATTTCTTGAGACTAATCAATAACCATACGTCGTTTATGATTTTTGTTTTTAGTTACCGAAACCTGGGGCCTTCAAAGTGAATAACCCTCTTAAATAATTTCTTTTTTAAGCAGATCTTTAAATTAGATTCACCCGTTCACCCGATTTTAATCCCAAAGATTATTTTTATTAGGAATACTTGAAAAATTCAGTTTACAAAACTTAACCAGCAAGTCTTGCATAGCTAAGGCAATGAAATATCGATGAATCTCGAATAATTTCTAGACAATGATGGAGAAATGTGGTAGACGCATTCTACCATCGATTAGAGTACTGTCAACTCACAAATGGAGCACATTTTGAACACTTAATAACGTAACTATTATGTTAAAAAATATTCTAAACTATCAATTGTTACGTTTTAATGTATTTGAAAATAGTTAGTATTAAAAAATGTATTGAAACAATTTAGGCGATGCCAGACTTCTGTTTTATATATTGAAGACCTTCCAGACTATAAATAATCATAAGCGTTACATATAGTTGAACTAGTATTGAATAGAAGATTCTAATAATGACTGAATATACAGGGTGATGCGTTTGAAAAACCAAAGTTACTAATAATATCAGAGAAACGGCAAATCTGGCAACATTGCAAATACCAAATATGGAATCTCCGTATCCCAAAATAGGCGTATCTCAAATTTTGTATTATTATGTCTAGTAATTTACGAGATAATTAGCCGTTTCCAAACTTTTGGGCCATTCTGTATTTCTAAATTCCAAGTACCAGCTGTGAAAGCTTATGATGCAGGAAAGATAGAAGAAAAACGGGGCATCGGAAAAAAGAAATACTAATGGCTTAAAAACATAAGAAATTAGACAAACTTCGATGCACATGCACTCTTTAGAGCCACACAAGATCGAAATGACTATGCCAGAATTGTCGCCAACATCCACTAATTGGACAGGGCACTATAATAAGAAGACTCTTTGACGTATATTAGATTGAATGAGACCATTAATAAAAGCATCACCAATATAGTCATTTTTATTTTCTTCTGACGAAAATGCTTTAAAATTACAATATTTTTAGCAAAAAGCTTAAACTGTTGTGAATACTGAACTATAGATTCGTTTATTTGTATAAATTATAGTGCAGCATGTTAACTGTCTTTAAAAAGGCAACCACATTCCATAATGGCAGTAAAAAGTACAAGTACGTTTTAAACGAAAAAAAAACAGTATAAAACAAAAATATGACAAAATGTAACACTTTAAGTTTAGTGGAATAAATCGAGAAAGTTATTAAACTATATTATTTGCTAAGAAAAAGAGCATAAAGAACTTTTTCAGTTTACACAAACATCTAATGACAAAGTTTCGTCGTTTCAAGCTTTTTCTAAGTTCTAAGTTTGGAAGAACACTTGAAACCGGAGAGATATTAGCATCTAATCTGCATATAAATAAAAGGCCATACCTGTGATCGAGATCTCCGTCATCAGTCTCGTCTTCCCTTAGTTCTCTTTTGATAACGACGACGGGAGGGGGTTTGTGCTCTGCTCGGGGCTGCACGCTCGGCGAACTTTGGCCACCCTTGCTCGCTTTTCGCTGCCTCGTCGCCAATACTAAACGTCGTGGAATCGACATTATGATGACTACGTCGTCTAAACTCATCCGAGTCACGTCCACCAGGTTCACCGCTAGAATTTCATCGCCCACCTGAAATTTTTAAAAATGAAGTTAATAAATAGATACATATACTGGAATTATATAAAAACACATTCATCAAGAACCATTGGATTCATATTTAAGACAAAAATCAGGGCACAAAAATAGATTTGGTTCGCTCAATAAGGTGTTCAATAAACCTTTAGTTTATATGTATTTTACTATTAAATATTTTTAAACTATAATTGGACAATGTTAATTAGGCTTTTAGACTACAGGGCGTAACAAAAAGGTAGGTTAGGTTTTCTGGGACCAAAAATAGTTCTATTGAACCTGACTTACCTTAGTACAAATGTGAACATAAGAAAACTTACAGTTAAATTTAAAAAATCTTCTTTTTCTTCTTCGTGTGACTAGGATTACTCCTGTTTTTCTGTCGCTTATTCTGTTTTAGTCGTTGTTGACTGTACATTATCTTTTCACCTTTTTGGGGGCCTTTCAACGGGTCTTCTCCTATACGGTTTGTTGTTTTTACAGATGTTCGCTAATCTATCTGGTCCCATTCGGTTTACATGTTCGTTCCAGTTTTTTTTTCTTGTTTTTATCCACCTGTTGATATTTTGAATTTTGTATTGTTTGCGTATACTTCTGTTGGTTTGTCTGTCTTTTAATAATATGCCCGCTATTGATATTAATACTTTCATTTCGATATTGCTGATTTGTTGTTTCGTCTTTCTTGTATCGGTCCTTATCTCGGCTGCATATTTTGGTCTTCCTGTTGTCTTGTATATTTTCATTTTGCTTTCCGTGGTCAGATATTTGTTTCTCCATATGGTTTCTCGGAGGCAACCCTTACTTTTGCCGCTTTTGATGCTTGCCTTGTGGTCTCTGTTCTTATATCCCTGTCACTAGTGATCTCTACTCCTAGGTAATTGAATTTCATTACTTGTTCTACAATTTTGCCATCTATTTCTAGTTTGCATCTACACGGCTCTTTACTGATCACTACACATTTAGTTTATTCTACTGATATTCTCATATTAAGTTTGTTTGCTGTGATATTGAAGGTGTGGAGCTGCCTTTGTAGGTCATCTTCTTTATCAGCAATTAGTACTGCATTATCAGCATAGCATAGTATCGTGATTTTATGCGCTTCCATGTGGTATCCGTATCGTTTTCTTACTTCGTGAAATATTTGATTCATCACCATATTGAATAACAATGGGCTGAGCGAGTCTCCTTGAAGGATTGCTCCTTTTAGTTCTATGTATTTTGTTTCTTCTGTTGGTATTATAACTCTGGTTTTGTTGTTCTTGTTAATTTCATTAATTGTTCTTATAGTCTGATGGTCTATTTGTTCAGCTTGTAATAAATTTAAGATGTCACTTCGCTTTACTCTGTCAAAAGCACTTTTTAATTCTACAAAGCACATGTATGCTGGTTTTCCATATTCAATAAACTTCTCTATTATTTGTCTGATAATAAAAATTGCGTCTATTGTGCTGCGGTTCTTCCGGAAGCCTTGTTGTTCATAAGTTAAAAAATGAAAATCGATTTTTCCAATATATGGAAAACCGTTAAAGATTTTTTATTAAAAATTAACATGATGCTTGCTTATGACAGGAATATCTTTAAAAAAAATTACAGTGAAATTTGTACTTCCCATAAAAATTTTATGGGGGTTTTGTTCCCTTAAGCCCCCCAAAGATTTGTATACGTTCCAATTAAATTATTAATGTGGTACCATTAGTTAAACACGATGTTTTTAAAACTTTTTTGCCTTCTACAAGTACTTTTAGTACTTTTTAGATAAGCCAGTTTTTATCGAAATGGGGCTACTTTTTTTTTAATTCTCTAGTTGGCTGTATAACACTTGTTACTATGTGTTCTATATTAAATAGTACCGTCAAAAATACATGTTGTCAGTAATTAATATTCCAATTAGTATGCATTTAAGATTATTAAGAAAAACTAAATTTTCTATTACCATGGTGTACACGATTTTAGAAATGCAGATTTGCATTTAATTCTGGCTAAGTTTGGGTACGACAAATTAGAGTTTTAGATAATTATTGCTAATTAGGTAACTACAGGTGAATGCCAGGTCAATAGTACAGCAGCTGCAAGGCGTTATGCAGAAAAATATTCTAATCGAAATACACCAGGCAGACGATTATTTCTTTCCGTTGACGTTTACGAGAGACAGGCATTTGTTGGTAACAACGGTCGACCAAAAGTAAATAAAAACGATGAAGAGATTTTGGAAGCAATTAAAAAAATCTTTGGAAGCAGTACAAGAGCAGTAGCGACTCAATTTGATGTTTCTCACATAATAATTCCGAGAAGATTCAAGGAATAGCAGTTTCATCCGTATCACTTAAAACCCGTTCAAGAATTAATGGATAAAGAGTATTTTAAAAAATGGAGTTTTACGATTGGTTTTTAACGGAAAACATACAAAATGTCAATTTTATTAATCATTTTGGTAATAATGTTTGGGCGTGAATTGTGGATAATAATCTAATAGGGCCAGTATTGCTTCCAAATAATTTAAACGGTGAAAATTATTTACTTTTTCTACAAAACGTGTTACCAGAGTACTTAGACGAGGTCAAATGAAATAAGAGAACACCTTTTCGATCAGTATCCTAGACGTTGGATTGGAAAGGGCTCTGATTTCTTGGCCACCCAGAGATGCAGATCTTAACCCAATTGACTTTTGCTTCTGGGGTTTTATGAAAGGGTACGTATATTTCTTACCAACTATGAACGATTAACAACTAAGGAATAGAATCATGAAAGCTGCAAACCGATTTCGTAAAAAGCCCATGAATTTTTGCCTTTTGCCATGAAAAGCCCTTTTGAAATTTCGTGCACTCGTGTTTCTCTTTAGAGAGTTTACGTTCCAAGTGCCAATGCGAAATATATATCTCGTTTTCTTTAAATTCATTTTCCTCTTTCTCGCGTTAGTCGTCGTAATGAAATCGTTCCTATTCAGAGGCATATTATTGTTTCTATGAGCTGTATAGTTTTCAAGTCAATCAGTAGGGTGCTAACCTGGCTGTAGAACCCCTTCTTCTTTATCAAGACCTGCGACCGGCACCAGTTCTCTCGATCCACCCAATAAAACTGCAGGCGGAGTTTTAACTACCAAATTATTAAGAAAAGTAATTGTTTACATTTTATATTGTTTAATATTACATTTTCTTTCATTAAATTTTAAACATTCTGTTAGTACCTAAATATTACATTACAGAGTAAAATGCTTTTAATTAGGCTCATTTTTTTAAGTAATAAATTAGTTATTAATCTGATACCTTCACGTAGTACTTAACGCTCTACGCTTATTGTGATATAATATTGTTGTGATTCACATATGCATGACTTCGGCACTGTACTTTAGAGAAATTTTAACAGTCCCTCTGCTCAATTTCGATAAAAAGATGGCCTTGAAGAGATTTTCTCGAGGATTCGACCGTCGCGTCGTACCGAGAAAAGTTCATTTTTATTATATAAGCCAACAGCGGTGGGCTCTATAATTAGTATATTGTCGATTCTACGATTGAGTGCGAATTCTTCTAAGCGATAATTATTAATATATTAATTGTATTATTTGCAATTAACTGAGATTTTAGAGTTAAATAAAGTAAGATAAAATACGTCGCGCTTAACCTAATCTCTGAACTCACGAAACAACGTAACAATGTATTTATTTCTGAATTTAAGGTGTAAGTCGAGGTTACCTAATTCGTAATACTACTTAACTTCTTCTCTTGAACGTTAAATATCCTTTTGTTTGTTTTATTAGGGGAGTTTTTGGATATTTTTCCCGTTTATACAAGCTAACTTATCGTCATAAACCTATTAAGTAACAAATCCCGTATACTTTATACCTCTCCCTACATATACGCCCTCATCTGCATTCAAAACGATGTGCTTCTCTTCAACACGCTCGAACATAGAATTGTGGTGCACATATTTGTAAATTCTACATTGGTGATGAAATTTTGTGGACGTGCCTAGGATGATTTCAAATGAGGAAGTCATTGTAGTCTTGCATATTTGAACACGCAATTCCTTTCGCCGGAAAATTAAACTCAAAATGTTTTTACGTGTTACAGATGGTATTATGGACAAACAAAGATATTAGAACAGTAAAAATATTGAAGTAAAAGTGGAAATTAATATTTAATATCCAATATAATGTAGGGAACAAAAAATTTAGAAAGCTTAGAATGAATGATTTAAGTCTTTGAAGTAAAACAAACCGTAACAAATAGATAGATAGATGGTTTATTGGTAATAAATTTATACAAAAGTATTTTTTACAAGTCAAAGAAAATAAAATATATGTCAATATAGTTAATATGCACATAAATATAAACATAAAACATAGATACATTGTTTTAAATTATACTGTTGACAATTACAACAAATTAAAATCGGAAGTAAAATACTCCTCATATGTAAAAAAAAGCATTCACTATAAGGTAACTCTTAATTTTTGCTTTAAACTAATAAAAATTAAGAGCTTTTATTCTAGCTGGCACAAGTTGTAGAATTTTATGGCTAAATACCTTGAACCATTTCTGGATCTCTAAAGACGGCTACATTATGTGCAGCAGACACTGCATAATGTATACACAAGGTAAAGTTAAAATTTTTAAAGCTCCAAACGAGTTTCTACAGTTTGCTCTATAAGAGAGCCCAGAGATAATACGAACAGACTTTCTTTGTTGTGCAAACACTTTATCAATATGACAAGAGTGACCCCAGGAGAAAATAGCATATGTCAGATGAGAATGAAAATTACTATGATAAGCTGTTAAAATAGTTTCCCTGGAAGTCACTTGTACAAGGTTAAACACAAGTGTTATTTCTTAGAGTTAAATTAACACTTTGTGATTTAGAGTTGTTCAAAGAGAGACGGTTAGTTAAGAACCAATTAAAATAAGTTTTTTTCAGATGTTTGGTAATCAAGGGTGTCGAATTCAGAAGGATGATAGCTTGCATAGAAAGTAGTGTCATTAGCAAATAAAACAGTGTTGACT